CATATTTGATTATTACTAGTGAAAGAGATGTACTCTTGCTCTGGAGTATGATACTGAATATGTTAAATCTGTAGTGAAATGCTTCCTCTAATCATGTAGTTATTAAAAATTAAAAAAAATGATGCTTAAAAAATAATAATTAGTAGAGGTGAAATACATTACCATTGAAATGTACCTGATGACTTTATATCCATGCTCAGATGCCAAGGAGCTCAGAAAGTAACCGACTGTCACTAGTAATAATCAAATATGTAGAGATTAGAAATGCATGTGCAAACATCTTAACGTAATTGCATTGAAAATGAATTTTTCTGTATAAAACTGTGTATTTTAATAATGAAGTGGAAATCTTTTTTAAACGTTAAAAACTCATTTAATTTTATGTCTTATAGAGTTTATAATAAGTAAAAGATTGTACAAGCATAATAATTCATCTGTAAACCTAAAAATATACAGCCAATTTTGAAAGAAAAGATGCATCTTAGCTCAGAAAATTGTTATTGAACATGTCAATGCTGTTGTAATGAAATGCTTCTTTATGTATGTGGTTATTAAGTAAATAATTAACTGGAAAAAAATAAATAAAATATTTAAAAAAAAGAAATGCAAGGAAGCCAATGGTCACTGCTAGAAGTGAGTTACCAACCCCTTGGCTAAGTACATGTGGGAAAAATGATGACTCTAGACCTAGGTCTATAGATGTGGAAGACTGAGGAGTGGCTCAATTGGTAGAGCATTTGCCTAGAATTCATGAGGCCCCGAGTTCAATCCCCAGCATCACATAAACAGACTTACATGCCTGTAATCACAACACTCAGGAGCTGTAGGCAGGAGGATCTCAAAGGTCAGGATCATCCTACATAAGGGGTTTGAAGGTCTGAGACCAGCATGGAGTATGTGAGACCCTGTTTAAATAAATAAAGAAATGAATAAATGAATGAATGTCTGAGACCAGCATGGGATGTGTGAGACCCTGTTTAAATAAATTAACAAACAAACAAATAAGTGGAAGGCAGACACATGGGATATATGAGACCCTGCCATTAATTAATTAATTAATTAATTAATCAATTAATATAATATTTAAATAAATGGAAGGCAGATACCAAAATCATGCAAGGCTGAATGCTAGTCTGGTATAAAGAACTTAGTAAAGAGACAAGTTTTTTTTTTTTTAAATTTTAAATGTATACCTTTTGGAAGATTTATTTTTACTTTATGTGTATGAGTGTTTTGCTTGCATTTATATCAGTGTACCATGTGTGTGCCTGGTGTCCAGTGAGGCTAGTCAATTGTGAGCCATTGTGTGGGTTCTGGTAACTGAACCTGGGTCCTCTGAAGAGCAGCAAGTGCTCTTAACCTCTGAGCTATCTCTTTAGCCTAAGAGTGATTTAGATGAAAGACAAATTTTCTTGGCATGAAGAGAAAAAAAAATGAATGCACTCTTGGAATTAAACACATAGAGGGTTACAGAGAAATCAGCATACTCAGCAGGAATGCTACCACATAACAAACACACCAATGAGGAGCAGGAGCAGTAAACTCACAATGAAGACAGCCCAGTAAGGATGACTGCTGTTTCCCCTGACATACAGACTGAATGAGGGCTGAGGTTTTTGATGACACTTCAGTTTTTTTAGTAGTTTGAGCAAATGCCTGGGAATTGGACAAGGATTGAGCTGGGATGAGACGCTAAGACTGAGATGCACTGGCTGCTTAGATGTGTATGGTATAAGGGAGGGACCAGGTTCTATGTCCAAGTGACCTGAAGCCATTTGTTAACAGACTGTCACTGCAGTGCCATCTTTGCCATAAATCAGGTGTCTGTGGGGTCTCCCTACCTCCATTTTGCTCCCTTGACCTCTTGGACTCATTGTGCAGATACTATGCAGTCTTTCTCTTAATAGATTCTGATAGAGGCATTATCTAACTTTGTTCTATTTCAGTATTGTTTGGGGGTAATTCTGACTTTTCTGTCAGTTTTGGGATTAGCATGTTGGTTTCTATAAAATAGTAATTGATATTTTTACTGAGCATGAATTGATTCTGTAGATCAGTTTGAGCATAGTAGAAGAATTCATGAAGATACTGTTTTTTAAGCCTTTATTTAGATGTTATTTCTAAATTTTAATTTAATTTAATTAATTTTTCTGGTACTGAGGGTTGTACCCTGGACCTTGAACATGCTAAGCAAGTGCTCTGCTACAGATATATATCCAGCCCTCTTTTTTACCTTACATTTTAAAAAAAAATTTTTTTATTGAGACAGGTTTCACTATGTAGCTCTGGCTGGCCCAGAACTTCATGTATAGACCAGGCCGGTCTCAAACTCACAGAAATCTGCCTGCTTCTACCTCCTGGGTGCTGAGATTAAAGGTGTGCTGCCACCACGCCTGGATTAAAAAAATATTTTTTTAAAAAAATTGCCTGTATATGTTTGTGTCTGTGTGTGGATATGTTCAGGTGTCCTCACAGGCCAAAGGAGGGCATCAGATTCCCTGGAGGTGGAGTTATAGGTGGTTGTGAGCTGCCTGACCTGGGTGTTGGGTCCACTACAAGAGTAGTTTTTGCTCTTAACTGCAGAGCCATCTCTCCAGCCCTTTGCTTTTCTTTGTTTGGAGACAGAGTCTCATTGAGCTGCCTAGGCTGGCCTTAAACTCAGTCTATAGCTCAGATAGCCCTTGAACCTAGGATCCTTCTGTCTAGCCTTCCAATTAGCTGGGACTATAGGTTTGTACTATGAGAGCTAACGCCTCTGCCTCCCGAGTGCTGGGATTAAAGGCGTGTGCCACCACACCCGGCTTTAATTTTTATTTATTTACTTGTTTGTTTACTTGTTTGTTTTATTTTTTGAGGCAGGGTCTCACTACGTAGCCCTAGCTGGCCTGGAATTTGCTATATGTAGACCACACTGACCTTGAACTCATGAAATCTACCTACCTCTGCCTCCTAAGTGCTGGAATTAAAGGTATGTACTACCGTACCCAGCCTTTCTTTAATTTTTTGAATATCAATTTATAGCTTTCTATTTGGAGACTTTCTTATAGTCAGTGTTTTTCTAAAGTTATTTTTATTAATTTATTGAAATTTTTCCATATAGACAGCCATGCCTATTTTACCGTCACAGGGCAAAAGAAAATGGCCTAGTTTATCAATGATCAGTTGTTAAAAAATGAAAAAGAACTGGGCCAAGTTAACATGAATAAATGTGAAGTTCCTGTTGTCTTCAATAACTTGTCATTGTGTTTTGTATATGATCGTCAAATTTTTATGTTGTAAACTGACTTGTTACTCTGCATTCTTTGCAGTTTTCCCTCACCAATTTTTCTTGGAATTGGACAGGTAAGTTTAAAAAAACCCAACTTTTGATTAGCCATTGGTGTACAAGATATTTGAGGTGCTTTTGTTTAAGATTGTGGTTGGCAAAGTTATTCAGCTGGCAGGGGCCCGCCAGAGGATCTTGTGGGACTCGTGTAAGACAGCACGAAGCACTGACACGTTTTTTTTTTTTTTATTTCATACTACAATCTAGGCACAATCAGATTTGTGGGAAAACTAACTACTCGGGGCTTGGGAGATGGCTCAGTTGGTAAAATGCTTGTTGCACAAATATGAGGACCTGAGTTTGGGTCCCCAGCACCCACTTAAAAGCTGGGCTTGGTGGTTCACACCTGTATTGCCAGCACTGAAGCAGTAGAGGCAGGAAGATCTCTGGGCTCACTGAGCCAGTCTAGCTGAATCTGTGACCTCTAGGTTTAGTGAGAGACCCTGTCTCAAAGACTGAGGTGGAGCGTGACTGAAGAAGACACCCAGTGTTGACCTCTGGCCTCCATATGTACCACATGTACGTACACACGTGTATACACGTATACACACACACACACACACACACACACTCCCACTATTTAAGTCCCTTAATTAAATTTAATTACTCAAAGCAAGGGACCAGAATGTTCAAAGTCTCCAAGGTTTGGTGGGTAGCTAATGAACAGGTTGGGAGAGATGGCTGTGGTAAATGCTTACCCCACTTGAAGCATGCCCTTGATAACTAGGATAAGTCACCCTACTGACAGGAAAGCAACTGAGGGATGAGGTGAGACTCATTCCTTATCTCCAGAACTTGGGAGTTTCTTGAGAGAAGAAGGAATTTGAATTTTTAACATCAAATCTCTAAATTACTAAATACTGACAACTGATGGAAATTTTTTGCTGCATTCTTCTAGGCTGGACAGAGCATGCCCACAGTTGCTTCCTACAGTTTGTGATTGCTTTTGCTTTCAGTAGAGGATGAGCTTGGATAAGCTCTGAAATGGAGCCCATTTAACTGTTCACAATTTCCCATTAATGTTAATTTATAGCTTTTATTTTTTCTTGTCTGTGCTGGTGCTTTTGTTTTGGTTTTGCTTTGTGTATAGAGGAAAAAGCTTAAAATTATGAAAACTGTATCTGTTAACTAAGTAGTGTGTGTGTGTGTGTGTGTGTGTGTGTGTGTGTACATGTGTGTGGTCACATGTGTATACAAGGTGGTGGGGTTTGAATCCATAGCTTCATGCATATAAGGTAGGCACTCTTGACAACTGAGCTATATCCCTAGCCCCTGTGAATCCCAGGAAATCCTGTCATTTATATGAATAAACATTACTCTGGTTAAAGTTTTCTTTTTTTCTAAAGCACAATTCTTCACATTATTTTAAGGAGAAAAAGATTATAACAAGACAAGGATGTTTCCTTACAATTAAAAATTGCTGTCTTTATGTTTTAAAGTAGCAATATATAGAAATAAGCAATTAAGGGAAAACCAGTGAATATTTTATCATATGTCCTTGGTAATCCCCAAGCTAAATAAATTCACTTTTCCTTTTTTTTTTTGGTCTTTTTGTGACAGGTCCAAAAACAATTCATTATGTAGACCAGGCTGGCCTTGAACTAACAGAGATCCACCTGCCCCTGCCTCCCAAGTGCTGTGACTAAAGGGATGTACCACCACGCCCAGCTTTTTTTTTTTTTTTTTAAACAAAAAACAAAAAAACAAAACTCACTGACTTACACTCAGTGGAGTTTCAGCTTTTCTAATTTGTAAATGGTTCAGGGAAGAGGCCAGTCAGACCCAATTTTGAAAGCCCAAATTACACTAATTTAATAATAAGTGTGAGTATATTTCTTTAAGAACTACAAATTTAGGCAGAAATACAAAGTCCACTTTTTTTTTTTTTTTTTTGGTCTTTTTGAGACAGGGCCTCCCTGTAGCCCCAGCTGTCCTGGAACTTACTATGTAGACCTGGATGGCCTTGAACTCAGAGAGAATCTGCCTGCCTCTGCCTCCCAAGTGTTGGGATTAAAGGTGTGCGCCACCACGCCCGGCTTACAAAATCCACTTTTAATTCAGGACAGTCCCAAATGGCTCAGTGGGTTAAGGTGCTTGCCACCAAACCTGCTGACCTGAGTTCAATGCTGGGACTGATATAGTGGAAGGAGAGAACTGACTCTCATGAGTTGTTCTCTAACTTCCATATGGCTGCTGTGTCATGAGTGTGTACCTACCACACACACAAATAAATAAATAAATACATACATAAATAAATAAAAGAATAAAAATAAATAAATGTAATTAACCAACAAGGAAAAGAGAAAAAGAAGAAATGTATCCTAAGTGTTGTCTGTAAGCCCATTAGGATCAAGGCTTAGGATCACAGCTGTATTGCAACAGATCTTAGGCTTTTGCATTCTCATGAAGAAAATCGAGTAAGTTCTAAAATTTGCATAGGAAGATGAAATGAAAACTTTTTATTTGAAAAATAATAGTCTGAAATATCTGTAATGTATCTAGCATGTTCTGAATTTATAGGATTTAAAGGTTATGTATATGTATGTGTCCATGTATGGGAATGTGCACATGAGTACAGTGCCCTTAGAGTCCAGAAGAGAGCATTGGAGTCCCTGGAGCTGGAGTTACAGGTGGTTGTGAGCCACACAGTGTGGGTGCTGGGAGCCAAACCTGGGCCCTCTGGAAGAGCAGCAGGTGCTCTTACATAGCCATCTCTCCTGCCCCCCCAGTTTATAGGATTTAAATGAGACATGCTATAAACATCCAGACTGAAAAGAAAATTTTTAAAAGATTTATTTTACTTTTAATTATGTGCATGAGTGTGTCTGTGTATGGGTATATGCATGTGAGTACAGTGCCCATGGAGTTCAGAAGAGGTCATTGGATCCCCTGGAGCTAGAGTTGTGAGCTGCCTGACATGGTGCTGAACTGGGGTCCTCTGCAAGAGAGTACTTGCTTGTAAACATTGAGCCATCTCCAGCCCCTGGAAAGAGAAATCTTAATTTGTCTTCTGTGTTATAAAAATGTTGGACTTTAAAAAATGCATTTTGATTTTTCTTTTTTAGAGCATTTTATTAGCATATATTAATCATATAAAATAATGTTATGAGTCTCATAACATTTTTACATATGTGTGTAATGTACTTTAATCATATTCCCCTCCCAAACTTCTTTGCCCCAACTGGTCCCCTTCCTCTTTCCACAAAGTCCCCTTTCTATTTTTATGTCTTTAAATGCATATTTGTGTGAGGAGTTTCCTTTTTTTGAGACAGTCTCACTATGTGACCCTGGCTGGCCCAGAACTTGCTATGCAGATCAAGCTGGCATCAAACTCAAAGATCTGCCTGCCTCTGCCTCCCCAGTGCTGGGATTAAAGGCATGCATCACCATGCCTGACTAGGGCTTTCCTTTAAAAAATTGTTTGCCCTTTCACTGGCCCTTAATGGGAGAAGGTGACTGATCACACACTCAACCTGTGTTCACACTCAGTGTGGTCCAGGGTCATGTGGCCACACCAGCTATGGCCATTCCAGTCACTCTCAGGGCCCCCCTTCCTTTTCTCTGTGTCACCATTTCTAGAGCCTCCAAGATAGCGTGCATGTTTGCCTGTCCTTCTGGTGGAACCTATCCGGCGGCAAGGGAGGCAATTTCAGCTTTCTGAGAAGTGCTGGTTTCCCCTCAGCCTGGAAATTATTTATTATTTATTTATATGTTTGTTTATTTTTATGTGTATGAGTGTTTTGCCTGCATTTTTGTAAGTTCACCTGTGGAGGCCAGAAGAGGGGCATTGGATATTCTGGAACTGTAGTTATGGGCAATTGTTAGCTACCACATGGGTGCTGGGAATTGAACCTGTGTTCACTGCAAGAGCAGCCAGTGTTCTTAAAGGCAGAGCATCTAACCCCTGGGTTACTTTCTGGTGAATGGTTTGACACCACTGCACCTCAGGCAGTCTTTCCAGCTGACATTCTGCTGAGTTTTCTTCTTTTCTTTAGATGGCAGCCACCATAATGATCCTGTATGTGTCCAAGCTGAAAAAAATAATCCACTTCCCTGATTTTGACAAAAAAATTCCTGTAAAGGTATGTGATGAAAGATACAAAAATGCAATAGAATTAGACACTGATCTGAGAGCAGAGGCCCGCTCTACACTGCACGCTTTATTTCTAGAAAGTTCTTTTTTGTAAAAAGGGATCTCATTATGTAACTCAGGTTAACATTGAACTCAGAATCCTGCTTCAGCCTCTCTAGTGCTGGAATAATAGTTCTTAATAAATATTTTATAAATAAATATTATTCAATTGTTTATTATTTATTATCTATTTATTTTTTGGTCTTTTTGAGAAAGGGTCTCCCTGTAGCTCCCAGCTGACCTGGAACTTGCTATGTAGACCAGGATGGCCTTGAACTCACAGAGATCCTCCTGCCTCTGCCTCCTGAGTGCTGGGATTAAAGGCATGCGCCACCATACCCGGCAGTCCACTTATTTAATGCACTGAAAATAAAAGCACGGGCTGGGGAGGTGGCTCAGTGGGTCAAGCGCTTGCTGTACACAGAACCCACACAAAGCCCTACTGCAGCACTCCTGTGATTAGATAGGAAGCAGAGACATGAGCGTTCTCAGAAGTTTGTGGCCAGCCAGCCCAGTGTAAGTAAGCCGTGGTGAAGAAGAGACCCTAGCTCAAATGAGGCGGAAGGCAAGAACAGACACCCAAGGTTGTCCTCTGACCTCCACAGAGGCACTGTGGCATGCACATGCCTATACTCATGCACATAAACACACACACACACACACACGGAGATCTTTTTAAAGAGTAAAAATACATGCTTACCCACACAAATGCCAGTGTGACCTCTGAAATGACATGATCTGACCCATCTCTGTTTAACGCTTAGTTGTTTTCACTGCACCATTAAAGCAACTCTAGTGATATGTAAACAAGTGGGTGCAGTTGTGGCCCAATAACATTTTATTATATAAATGAGAAATGGGTCAGGTTTGGTCCTGAGATGTAGTTTGCTGGTTTCTATGTTCAGATTTCATTGTTAGCTTGAATTGATAAAAGCTGTGCATGAAGAATACAGTTTGATATATTTAATAAATGTGAAATACACAGAGAGAGAGCATTGAAAGATATACCTACCATTCCTTCTTGGGGATATGGAATGGAAACATTTTAAAAAATATGTTTTTGATTTATTATTTTATTTTAATTTTTTGTATATGAAAGTTTTTGCCTGCATGTGTGTAAGTGCACCTGTGTATGCAATGCCTGTGAAGGCCAGAAGAGGGTGTTGGATCCCCTGGAACTGGAGTTATGGATAGTTGTTAGCTGTCATGTGGGTGCTGGGAACCAAACCCTGGTCCTCTGCAAGAGTAGCCTGTGCTCTTAACCACTGAGCCATCTCTCCAGCCCTGGCAGCTGTTTTTATTGAATAGTTGCAGAGGGCCAGGCATGAGGGCAGATATTTAATTCTTTGAGCAATTCTATGACAGGTGATTTTAAATAGCTTATGGTAGCTTGCTCACTGTTATATGTCTCTGATGCTTGGAAAGGTGCTGTTTATTTACGGATAGCTTCAGCACAAGCTTGTAGCATCAATAATGGACATCTACACCGAGAGAAAATGTTACAGAAAACCAAAGATAGCAACCTAACCATTGTGGAAAGTCAGCATGTTTTTGGCTTGTTTCTGATTAAGAGTAATATTTAAATATTTTAAGAATTAAAAAGTTGTGAAAATGACCTATATATAGTTTAAGAAGCTTAAACAAGAGAAATGTGTTTTTCAGATGCATTGTCTTTTTAGAAAATACTTCATTATTTTTATTTTATGTGTATGAGTATTTTGCCTGCATGTGTGTAAGTGCACCATGTGTGTGCAGTACTCACAGAGGTCAGAAGAAGGTGTTGGATCCCCTGGAACTGGAGTTACAGACAGTTGTTAGCTGCCATGTGGATGTTGGGAATTGAACCCAGGTCCTCTGGAAGAACAGCAAGTGTTCTTAACTGCTGAGCTATCTTTCCAGCCCTAAGAGACATGTGTTTTTCCACAGGAAGTCCAGGATGAAGGTGCTCTTGTGTTTCTCTGTGTCCTTAGATGGCCTCCTCTCTCTCTCCCTCTCCTGCTCCCTCTCCATTTCTCTCTCCCTACCCCCCCATCACCTCTTGTTAAAATGACATGGATCCTATTGTATTGAAGCCCTGTTCACATGATCTTGTCTATTGCCTCTGTAAGGCCAAGTACGGTCATTGGGGATTAGTGTTTCACATGTGAATTTGGAGGCAGAGAACAGGATTCAGTCCATGCAGCATGTACACATCAGTTTCTCAGTGCATATTAAGGAGTGGAACTCCAGGGTCCCAGGGCAGGCAGAGCTTCAACTTCTGTAGATAATGCCAGCTGCTCTGTAAAGTCATTGTAGCAGACCACAGTTTGGGGATTGCACACGAGTCCTTGTTGCCTCTCATTCCTCCATCCCTTCTTCTCTGACCTGGCATCATCCAATTCAGATCGAATAAAAATTTATTTCTTTTTGCACTGCCCTTTACCAGCTTTTTGAGAAGGAAGAAATGCTTCTGTTGACTCTGGATAATCTTGTTTCTTCAGGTTCCCAAATACTATCGGCATGCGAGCCCCTCTCCTTTAGGAGCCGCTGCGCCTTCCCAGTCACTTCATGTGGAGTTGGTACTTACTCCAGACACAGTCTTCAGGGCCTGCCTCTCAGTGCTTTGCTGCTTGCCTTCTGCCTCTTTCCCATTATTTCTCGATAGAGTTTTGTTGGAGGTCATTTTTTTTTTTCTTTTTCAGAGCTGAGGACCGAACCCAGGGCCTTGCACTTGCTAGGCAAGCGCTCTTCCACTGAGCTAAATCCCTAACGCTGTTGGAGGTCATTAAAAAAATTTTTATTTATTATTTGGGTCTGGAGAGATGGCTCAGCAGTTAAGAACACTGGTTGTTCTTGCAGAAGACCCAGGTTTGAATCCCAGCACCCACATGGCGGCTAACAACTGTCTGTCCCAGTTGTTAACTCCAGTCCCAAGGGATCCGACAGCCTCTTCTGACCTCTGTGGGCATTGCACGACAAGGGTGCGCTTACCTACGTGCAGGCAATACATGCATATACATAAAATAAAAACAAATCTAACCCATGTCCTCTGCAAGAGCAGCCAGTGCTCTTAACCACAGAGCCATCCCTCCAGCCCGAAGAAGCCATTTTTTCTTTTTGAAGAGCTAATATTCAATCCTTTGAAGTGTGTTGTTAACACAAAAGCACAGTTCTCTCAAAGGGAATAAGATTGTTTATTCTGGAACCCAATATGAGTTACTGTGGCTCACGAACACAGATTCAGGTTTCTCCAAATATCATGTCCCACAGTGGGAGTGGTTATGTGGGATTCTATTAGTAACAGAAGAGGGGAAACTCTGCCATGGGTTTCAGGTGCTGTCTGATGGCATTCTTGGCCCTTGGATTGGTGAAAGTGAGTGGTCTGCTAAGAATAACTGTAGGATTTTGATGGTCACAAGGACATTAGGTCAGACGCAGGTGCGGGTGGTGAATGACTTTCAAAGGACTGAAAACAGTCCAAAATAATTTGGCTCTGGTTTGCAGAATTTTAAAATCTCCATAATTTTGAAGCTTCTCCATTTGGCCTTGTAGAATTTTCAACAAAATGCAGCTCCTCTCTGTCTCTGTCTCTGTGTCTGTCTCTGACTCACTCTTTCTCTTCTTTTCGGAACTTCAGTTCACAGTCTGCAATATAAGGAGCATTAATGATACTTTATTAGTAGTTTCTTTGGATTATTTTTGCATGTAGGTTCAAGTCATCTCCCCCATCATTACAGGCAAAAGAACTCAAATGATTTGTCTACCGATGGGTGTGAACATTGCTGCTTTTATCTGTGAAGAGGCATTTGAGAGATGGCTCAGTGGGTGTGGTGATTTAAATGACAATGTCCCCAGAGGCTCAAGTATTTGAACAGGTGGTATATGGTCCCAGTCGGTGGTGCTGTTTGGGAAGGTCATGGAACATTTAGGAGGTGTGGCCTTGCTGGAGGAAGCACATCGCTGGAGGTGGGGTTTGAGAATTCATAGCCTGGCCCCACTTTGAGTTTGCTTTCTGCTTCCTGTGCCTGCTTGAAAATGTGAGCACTCAGCTTTCTGCTTTGGCTGCCTCTGCTGCCATGCCTCCTGCTATGATGGACTCTTGTCCTTCTGGAACTGTAAGCTCAAGAAATTCTTCCTTCTATAAGTTGGTCATGAAGTTTTATCACAGTAACAGAAAAGTAACTGATGCAATGGATAAGAGCAAGTCTATACAAGTATGAGGACATGAGTTCAAACCCACAGCACCCAAGAAAAAGTTGGGCATGGCAGCATATGCCTGTAACCCTGTGGAAGGGGGAAACAGGACCACTGGGGCTTGTTGGCTGTCAACCAGGTTTAGTGAGAGACCTGTGTCAAGGTGGACAGTGATAGAGTAGGACAACTGACATCCTCCTCTGGTCTTCTTGAGTACACTTGGGCACATGCACTTGCACACACACAACACACACACACACACACACACACACACACACACACACAAACGCACACACACAACACACACACACACACACACACACACACACACACACACTATGAAGGAAAATATATGAATGAAGTTCTAAGTGGATCATTTTCCTTTCTTTTATTGAAGCTGTTTCCTCTGCCTCTTCTCTATGTTGGAAACCACATAAGCGGATTATCAAGTACAAGAAAATTAAGGTACGGTTCAAGATAATAGTGGGGAGGGGTTCTCCATCTGTCTGCTTCCACTAGTTCAAAGACCAAGTTCGATTTTCTAAAACGTTGCTTGGGTATTGTATAGAAAACATAACATTTAATAATGTTTAACAGTATGAGAAAGTATAGTTTTGAGTTTTATTTTGAAATGTTTTTAGAACTGTTTAAAGATTATATTTTTCTTATATTCATGTCTCAACACAGAAAATGAGATCTGTGTCTATCAGATAGAGGAGGTGTAAATATCTGGATTTATTTGTATGAATGTGATCATATGTAACTTGGGGCTTTGTAATGGTTTCATAGAAGCAGGAACATTCTGTCAGACTTGCTATGAGGCAGGTTTGGTGTAAGGAAAAGGATTGGCAGCCCTTAGTTCCAAGTGTGGTCTGTACACTAGCCAAGTTTGCACCTGTATTTCTTTCAGCACCCTCTGATTGATTAATTTTGCTAAAAGTTACTGTATAAAATGAAAATCAGAGTATCCAACAACCAGACCATCTAACTAAGCAGAGAATGTGGTCTGAATATGTGGCCTCAGGAACGAAGGACTAAAGATGAGAAAACGAGGCTTGTGCAGAAGTTGACAGATCCTCTCTGTGTGTATGCATTCACGCGTGGAAACATGTATGCACTGCACATGCATGTACAGGACAGAGGCTGATGCTGGGCATCTTCCCCCATTGCTCTCCACTGTTTTTTTGTGACAGAGTCTCTGTAAACTGAAGCTCCCTGGTTGGCTAGATTGGCTGGCCAGCAGGTGCCAGGCTGTCTCCATTTCCTCAGTGCTGGGATAGCAGGCACATGCCACCATGCCTGGCTTTTTACTTAGGTGTTTGGGGTCTGTTGTGTTCTCATACTTGCACAGAGAGCTACCCACCAAGCCATCTCCCAGCTCCAGGTAACTGATCTTGGAGACTGTATAGGACGAGTGGAAAAGAGCCCAGTAGGAGGTAGATAAGAAGATGGATGTAAACCGAGGACCACGATGTTGGGCCTACCACCTTTCATTCCTGTTTGGAGAGGACAGGTTGTATTTGTGGAACTGGAATGCTAAATATGGTTTTCTTTCCCATGTTTTAGCTGGTTTGTTGCTTTATTCTGGTTATTGGGATGGTTAATTTGCCTCAATTACTTCAGATTTGAACTGGAGCCCCCTGTGGCTGGGTCTCTTGTTCCTTTCTGCACAGCCACTTGATCTTCCCTGCTTCCTGCAGCTGAGAGGGAGGCTTTCTTTAATACAGTTGCTGCCTGCCTGGTGCTTGGGGTCTCCTCCTCACACAGCAGGGTTTAAATGTCATGAAGGTGTTCTTGGAGAACGGGAGGGCCGAAAAGTAGGAAGAAGGATTGCTTATTTGGCTTGTCATGGACTCTTTTTATATTTTTCATAGTTTCCTTTTTTAAGATTAAAATGAATAAGAATGGTGTGTGTGTATTTGTGTGTGGGGACCAGAGGTTCACATTGGGTTGTCCTCCTCTATTGCTCTTTATCGTGTTTTTCCTTGCTTTTCCATTTTTTGGTGTATGTATGGTCATGTGGTATATTAATGTGTGTGCAGGCAGTGTCCTATGTGGAGGCCAGAGGAGAAGAGAGCATCAGGTGTTTTGCCTTTTCAGATAGCTAGCTCCTGCAACCCACCTGTCTCTACCCTCCCTTGTTTTTTGAGACAGGATCTCCCACTGAACCTGGAGCCCACTGATTGGCTAGTTTGACTGACCAGTGAGCTCTGAGGATCCAGCAATCTGCCTCCTAGTGCTAGGGTTACTGGCATGCATTCACATACCCGACATGGGTGCTGGGATCTGAACTCAGGTTCTCGTGTTTGCACTGCAGGCACTTTACCAACTGAGCCCTAGTTTCCCATATTTCCTATAAACTGACAGTTGGTTCCAGAGGCTTGTTTTGATTCCAGTTCAATTTTTCAGGTAAGTTAATTTATCAGTGATGTGGGGTTTTTTTTTTGTCTACTGGGGCACATACCACCTTCTAATGCTTTTTGCAGCCATTGTCAAGATTCATTATTACAAAATGTAAAATGTTGGCCTGCATTCATTGTCTAAATACTTTAGATAAAGGCATAGTTTTACAATTTTACACAAGAAAATCAAGGTAATAGCCTTATCAATAAATGTTCAGAGCAACAAATTAGTATCCTGTCCCATTCAGTAGTGTCCAGTGAGGACTGGCATGTGTATTTGTCTCTGTGCAGATGTATGTGACTATGTGTGAAGCCCGAGGCCAACCTTGGCCTCATTCTCAGGAGCTGTCAACCTCAATTTTTTGGAACAAAGTCTTCTGCTGAATCTGAAGCTCTCACATTAGGATAGGCTGACCAGCCAGCAAGCCCCATGGATCCCCCTGCCTCTAATTCTCCAGTGCTGGGATTATAAAGTCATACTACCATGGCCAGATTTCTTATGTGGGTTCAAGGCAACACCCTACTTATTGAGCCATCCTCCCAGGTCCCTAGGATTGTTTTTTGTTTCTTTCATTTTTTTCTGTCATATGAACTCGTGGATTTTCATTTACTTGATGCAAGTCCTTTGTGTGCTCAAAATATTTGCATCGGTTGGGTCTTGTCTTCTTCCTTTCCCCTCTAGTTTCACTTCTGTTGCTGTCCATAATTGAACCATACGTGTACAGTGCCTGCAGAGGCAGGAGAGGGCATTGGCTCTCCTGGAAATAGAGTTTCTGATGGTCCTTAGTCGCCATGTGCACACTGGGAATTGAACCCAGGTCCTCTGCAAGAGTAGCCAGTGCTCTTTATCACTGAGCCAACTCTCCAGTTCCACCCAGCCCCTCTTTTTATTTTCTTAATAATGTACTGGAATCACCAAAGTTTTAAAGTCTTACAGACTTAAGTAAAAAGAAATAACATAAAAGTTATGACTGTAACTATTTTAAGTATACAATTAAAATGCATGAAGTATATTCATAACCATGTGTGATGGCACATGTCTGTAATCCAACATTCAAAAAGCTGAGGCAGGAGAATTGCTGAGAATTTAAAGCTAATCTTTGCTACATGGTGAGTTTGAGACTAGCCTTGATGAGACTGTATCTCAAATACAAAGTATATACACAGTGTTGTGCAGCCACCACCATTATCCCTTGTCGAAGTTTGTTTCTCTACTGCTGTGACAAAACACTCTGACCAATACCACCTTAGGGAGGAAAGGGTTTATTTAGCTTACATATCCAGGGTCACAGTTCATCTGGGAGCCCAAGGTAGGAACTCAGGGCAGGAACCTGGAGGCAGGAGCTAGAGCACAGGCCATGGAGGAACACTGCTTACTGGCTTACTTCCCTGGCCCCTGCTCATCCTGCTTTCGTATGCAACACAGGCCCACCTGCCCAGGGGTGGCACCACCCACAATGGGCTGGGCCTTCCCACATCACTCAACAATCAAGAAGATGCCCCATGGACATGGCCACAGGCCAGTCCAATGAAGACAATTCCCCAATTGAGGCTCCCTCAACCCAGGTGTGTCAAGCTGACACTAAAGCGGTTCAGCACATCCCTTTCAGAAACGTTTTCATCTGTGCAGAAACTCTGAACCCATTAAACAGCTGCCTTCCCTTTAGTGCTTAAGTACTGGTAATCTTGTGTGTATGTGTGGTACATGCATGTGAATCTGTGGGAGTCTGTGCCTATGAGGAGGCCAGAGGAGGATGCTGGGTGTCTTCCTCTATTGATTTCTATCTTATCCCTTTGAGACAGGGTCTATCACTGAACTGGAAGCTTACCATTTCAGCCAGGCTGACTGGCTAGGAACTCCTGGCATCTGTTTGAGTCTGCCCCATCATGTTGAAGTTACTTGCAGATGTAGCCATGCCTGACTTTTATGTGGGTTCTGGGATTTGAAGTCAGGTCCTCATGCTAGCATAGCAAGCTCCTACCCACTGAACCATTTCCCTGGCCCCCAACTAATGGTAATCTCTACCTTATGATCTCAGAGCCTTTGTAACCTTGCCTTCCCTAGATAGCACATACAAGTGGGGTAAGACAACCATTGTCCCTTTTTATCTGGCTTGTTTCCTTAGCATGATGTTTTCAAGGTTTACCCATGTTTACCCAGAATTTCATTCCTGCTAAAGAGACAAGATAGAATACAAATAGGAAAGAAAATTAATTGACCATAACTGTAAGGGTTTATTTCATGAGCCTCATAGATAGATACACATTCATCTTCTAACTAGTTCTAGATATCTTGGCTTGTAGCTTTGTAGTAAATTTTAAAGTTGGGAAGTATATGCATGCCAACTTCATTATTTTTCATTAAAATGTTTTTATATGAGTTGGAGAGATGGTTCAGCAGTTAAAAGCACTGGCTGCTCTTGCAGAGGACCTAGGTTTGGTTCCCAGCACCCACATGGAGGTTAATAACCACCCATTAACTCCAGTTCCAGGGGATCCAATGTCCTCTTATGACTTCTGTGGGCATTGCACACGCATGATGTACCTACCTACATACAGGCATAACACTCATACGCTTAAAAAAATTTATTATCACATTTGTGTGTATGATGTGTGTGTGTGTGTGTGTGTGTGCGCATATGACTACAGTGCCTGAGGAGGTCAGAAGAGGGTGTAAGAGCCTCTGGCATTGGAGTTACAGGTGGTTATGAGCTGCTTGATGTGGGCGCTGGGAATCAAACTCAGGTCCTCTACCAGAGCAATATGTGCTCAAACCACTGACCAATCTCTCCAACCCTCCCCCAAACTTTGTTATTTCTCAAGATGGTCTCTTGGATTTCTATATTACTTTTAGAATCAATTTGCCAGTTTCTGCAAAGAAAAAGGAAAAAGAAAACCAGCCAGCTGAGATTTGATAGGTTTTGTGTTAAATTAGTATGTGAAAGTGGTACTTAGTTACATAATCTCTACTTTTATGACTTGCTATGATTTATTATGGTAACTATTATGATGATGGTTAACTTGTTATATTTAATTTGGAAAATAAGGGGCTTAATAATGTAAACCATGTTAAAACAATAATAGCAGTCAACACTGTGTGTCTGATGTTAATCTTTTCCAACAGCTTGCCCATGTTCACTGTGCTCAGGAAATTCACCATCCCACTCACTTTAATCCTAGAAGCCATCATACTAGGGTGAGTTGTGTTCCTTCTTCATTCCTTCAACATGCTCCCTGCCCACTTTGTTTTTGGTTTACGTGTAGGAGGGGTTGTATTTATATATGTGTGTGTGTGCATGCAAGCCAGAGGCTGATATCTGGTATCTTCCTCTGTTAGTTTTCCATCTTATTTTTTGAGGTTCTCTCATGGGACCTGGAGCTTGCTGATTGGCTAGACTAGCTGGTCAGTGAGCCCCAGGATCTGCCCATCCCTACCTCGGAGGCAATTCCTCCATGACTAGCTTTTCATGTAGGCACTGGGGTATCTGGGCTCAGGTCCTCATGCTTGCTGCTTGCATAGCAAGCACTTTACCCACGTGTTGTATGACACAATTCCTGGGGAGACATGAACCCCAGATAGAGAACCAATGACAGACGAAAGGGTACCACCAAAACCTGACTTGGTGAACCATGATATTTATTGGGGTTACTTACAGGAGTAGAAGTGACTCTAAAACAGCTGCATCACTGAAAGCCAACCCCAGCCTGGGGGACAGCCCATGAAAGCAAGAAATCTGGAGCACACTGCACAACTTGCAGGCAGCTCAGGAGGTTGGATGGTGTCCTTTCCAAGTAGCTCGTTGGTCCGAGCCTCTTCAAGGGAGCCCCACTGGTCTGAGAGCTCTCCTAGCAGACCTTACTAGTTATATAAGCTTGGGGAGGGAGGGGCCTAGTGAATTTGATCAGTTTTGGGCACTTCCTGAAGCCTTTGAGTTGTTTACTTCCTTGCAGAACATTCTGTTGTTTACCTCCTTCCAAACATCTTGTTTACCTCCGGTAGAACATCCTATCTTACCCAGCTTCCCTCCATGATGGAAGGTTTTGTCTGAGGAAAGTGCTACACAGCACCACTGGGCCATCTCCCCACTCCCTTGTGTTATTTTTACCTAACATTCTTACAAAGGAGTCCTCTTCTGAGTAATTGCTTTGAATTGCTAGTTGCAACAACTTGAGGACAAATAGTTTGCTCACTTTAAAGTAGTCAACTGTCTCCACGATCCCCTAATAATGAGGGATATGTAAAATGTTTATTTACATCAGATAAGTACCATGTTTGTGGCAGAAAATTATAAAAGAATTACAACCACCCTCAAACAGATATGTGTCTATGTGCTGAGCTGGATGGACTGAACAGTGATGAACAGTCCATGTCTGTAGACGGAATGAGGGCGGATCAGGGAGGGCAGTTCTGATGGACTAACTGTAACATAGCTTGAATTTTGTAATTGTTGGTATGAATTTTTCTCAAGGACACCCAGGCCAACCTGTGAAAATGCAGATTTTGATTTTGCAGTAAAGATTATCTAGCAGTGAAATTTAGCGAATGGTGCAGTGTTTAAAGCTGTAATATTGTACTTTACCTTTGAACACTCCAGGGAAGGCCCTGCAAATCCGACTTAGCTACAGGCCCTCTTCTGTATCTGTCCCAGCATCCCACAGAGAAAGTGCTTTATAATTAGAGTAAGGAAAGTGCTTAGGACATAAAGAAATTTGGCCCAATTTACCATTCTAGTGCCTTCTCTACATAAAGATGTTCAATTTCAGCCATGGAGACACCAATGTCTCTTTTCAGATTTTTTTTTCTTTTAAAGTAACATCCATATTTTAATTTTTTTCTCTCCACCCTTCCCTTTCTTCTTTCTTGGCTACAGAAACCAGTATTCACGGAACATCATCCTCAGTGTCTTCGCCATCATTCTGGGGGCTTTCATAGCAGCTGGGTGAGACATGGCACTGCACCTGCTCAACGGCTCCTTTGTGTCTTTGACAATAGGCCCAGCTCTGTCCTAGCACTTTTCCTTTTCCATCTGACTGCAGCTGAATTGAGCAGTTAAAAGACAAGTCTATTGAGTTAGTGGCACCCCATGTGTCCCTGTGAGTGTCAAAAATAAGTTCCACATCAGCGAGAACCATTCTGAGCATACATACAGGCAAGTCCAACCCTTGGCCTGTGGGCAGCGAGGATAGCTATAAATGCTACTGGACACAAAACTGTAAACTAACTCAAAACATGATGAGACTTTTATAATGTTTTTGTAACTCGTGGTTCTTGGGTGTGAACTTTGTAGATGACATTGTTGTACCACAAACATCATGTGGTATTAACGTAACTGTTCTTTGCAAAAAACAGTAAGTTGTTTGCTTTTTATCATTGAATGCCCTCATGGTCAAAATTTTACTTGAGATGTTCTTAGGTATTTGATTCAAAATAGCAGATTTGAATTAGGATATAGCTCAGTGGTAGAATGTATACCTAGCATGCTTGAGGGTGCATGGTCATTCCCCAGCACCACCCAGTACACACAAACATACACACACACACACACACACACACACACAGACACACACACACACAGGAAAAGCCTATTAAGTGTTGTTTGTTTTATTGTTCTGTGATGACTGTTAGAGTGTGGTCATCACATGTGCTGGTACATTTGAGAACAAGCCAACACTAATTAGCCTCTTCTCTCATAATTAACATGTAGAATCAGGGATGGGAAAGTGCTTGCTATGCAAGCATGAGGACCCAAGTTAAGAGCTCTAACACCCGAATTAAAAGCTAGGCATGGTGTCATGCACTTGCAGTCCCAGCACCAAGGCAGAGACAGGAGGATCCCTAGAGCTTGCTGGCCAAGCAAGTCTGGCAGAAGCAGTGAGCTCCGTGTTCAATAAGAGACACTGTGTTAATAAGGTGGAGTGTGTTCAGTCTTGGAATGGGAGGGGTGGGTCATTCAAGAGGATACTGAGAAATGGATTAGTGGGGGTTTAGGATTTTATTAAAGAGTTATCAACTCCATGGACAGACAGACAGGAGCGACAGCATGGCCAGGCTTCTGAGGAGAGGTTAGCCCCCAGCACTAGAGATAGACAGCATGACGAGGTCTCTGAAGAGAATTAGAGCCTACATGACGAGTAGGGGGAGCCTCTTTTTAAACCCTTTTGAAGGTGAGGTGTATCTTGCCCCCCTCCCACGCTTTGATATGAACTCACTTCCCAAGTGAGAAGTCCTGTCTGCAATGTAGGGTGCCTGTCAGTATCTGTGAGGGGAAAGCCACTCAGGGTAGCTGCTAGATTCCAACATATCCTTACAGAGTGTGACTGGGGAAGACACATGACCTTGACTTCTGGCCTCCACACGTACCAATTCACACATGTACTTGCATACCTGCACACACATGTGTATACACACACACACACACACACACACACACACACACACACACACACAAAGTGTCTTTGGGGAGAAGTGGCACAACGCAGAACCCAAGAATGAGTTCAACTCATTTTTAGCATATTAATGACACTCTAATGAGCTGAAAAGGGTGAACCGTGTTTTCACTTTTACTGAAAGACCAGCTGGGAGTAGCAATTCTTGACTTTCCCCTTCCACCAGCACTCGGCAAGTGGATCCCTTCCTGGTGGGTGACATTCACGCTGCTGAGTCATAGGTCAGCGGTGGCCCCTGGAAGCTCTCCACTCTCCTTAGCTCCTGACAGCAGCTGTCTCAGTTCTTGTGCTCTGGAAAGAGAATTTTGATTGGGCACAGTTGTAGATCAAACAGTTAAGAGTTTAATTATAATAAGCAAGACAGCAAAAATACACTCTTCATCAAAAAGCATGATCCAGACCCGGCCTCACCCTGGCAGGTCCAGGGCTTCCATCTCTCTGGTCCCCGTGGTTCCTTCCCTTGTGACGCCCCCAGGTGGGCACTTCCAGGAAGGGGCATGCTTTTCTTTTTTTCTTTTCCTTTTTTTGGTCTATTTGAGACAGGGTCTCCCTGTAGCCCCAGCTGGCCTGGATTCACTATGGAGACCAAGCCGGCCTCCAACTCCCAGAGATCGGCCTACCTCTGCCTCCCGAGTGCTGGGATTAAAGGCGTGCACCACCATGCCTGGTGGGGCATGCTTTTCTTGGAAGCTCATTTTACCCAGAATTCTGTTACAAGTGGATGTATACGATATAAGAATATGTATAAGAGTTCCAGTAACCCCAATGCTGAAAAAGTTTATTATGAGGAAATGGACCATTATACTGCACATGCTCCTGGTGAGGAAGTTCCTGAAATAATTTGTACTGACCTATCTCACATGGACTGCAATCACCTGTCATTCTTTACATTTTGCTTCTAGGACCCTGGGCAGGCCTACCTGTTGTTCTGTATGTCCTACTTGGGATGTCTGTTGGGCAGTCCCTCTCAGAGCTAACTTCTTGCTTAACAAAGTCAGCCCATCCCAGTGCAAATAGTTATTGATCAGACTTAGTCAGGATGAGCCAGGTTTAGCTGCTGTAACAAACAGGTATCTGGTTTTATACACCAAGTATGCTCTGCCCCAGCTGTGTGTTTTAACCCACAGCAGTCAGTGATTAGGGGAGGACTGTGCTCACTGTACCCCAGAGACCCAGCTATGAGGCTCCCTGCCTGAGTCAGAGCATCCTCAGTTATCTAAGAGGGAAAAGGGGCAGGGATTATGTACTAGCTTATAAAGCTTTTGCCCAGAAGTGACATGTATTCCCTTTATTGTATCCTATTTATCAGAGCAAGTAACATGGCCAGAAATGTTGAAAGGGAATGTCTAGGAATGGCCCAAATGACAGTCACAGTGGCTGACTGTGAATCTGCACTAATTTTTAAAAAAAGACATTAATTTTTATTTATATATATGAGTGTTTTGCCTGAATGTGTGTAAGTGCACCTGTGCAAGCAGTGCTTATGGCAGCCAGAAGAGGGCGTTGGATACCCTGGAACTGGAGTTACGGGTGGTTGTGAGCCACCCTGTTGGTGCTGGGAACTGAACTTGGGTCCTCTGTAAAAGCATCCAGTGCTCTTGACTGCTGAGTCATCTCTCCAGACCCTGAATCTGCTCTAATTTATGTAACAAGTATATTCTTCACACACTTCTGTATTCTCAGCACTGACCTGATGAATGATAGGTAATGAATGAGGGCAGGCCAAGCTCCAAGGAATAGACATACCGCTGTTGGGAATTCTTGGCCCCTAGAGGACCCAGGACTCTGGAATTTCTCTAAGACTCCTCCAGGAAATGGGCAGGATCTTCTCCTCATGCCTCTAGAAACTGGCTTTTCCTACTCATTCAAAATTAGAAAGAAAAGTTTAAATTTTTTTTTTTTTTGGTCTTTTTGAGACAGGGTCTCCCTGTAGCCCCAGCTGTCCTGGAACTCACTATGTAGACCAGGCTGGCCTTGAACTCACAGAGATCCGCCTGCCTCTGCCTCCCAAGTGCTGGGATTAAAGGTGTGCGCCACCATGCCTGGTGGGAAAGTTTAATTTTTTATTAAAAATATTTTGTATGTGTATGTATGCTGGTATGTGTGGGTGTTCACAGGTGGGTGTACATGCACACATGTGTGTGGAGGCCAGGGGTCAACTTTGGGTGTCATTCCTCAAGAGCTGTCCATTTTGTTTTGAGACAGGATCTCTTACTGGCCTGGAGCTTGCTGGTTCAGCTAGGCTGGCTGGCCCAGGAGCCCTGGGATCACCCATCCATTCCTCAGGAGCTGTCCATTTTGTTTTGAGACAGGATCTCTTACTGGCCTGGAGCTCACTGATTCAGTTAGGCTGGCTGGCCAGGGAGTCCTGGGGATCCACCTGTCTCCACCCCCTCCATTTTAGGAAACACCAAACCTGTGTTTTATGTGGATTTTGGGGATCGAATTCAGGTCCTCATGTTTGCTTGACAGTGCTTTATCAATAGAACCACCCTATTGGTGCTGGGAACTGAACCTGGGTCCAACCCAAAGAGCAAAGCTACAGACAAATTGAATCTAATATTTAGTTGACCTAGTAGCCTAAGGAACCAGCAGAGAATCAGGGAGCTCCCTCCAATAATGCTTCCAGGTGGTGGTTATGGGCAGGAAGCAGGAGTAACTTGCAGCCAACTTGATGGGCTATAGCTCAGCATTTACTTTCTTCGAACATCCTCGTTACTTCCTGCAACTGTCTAAGCTCTGCTCCACTGACTGGCTGCGACCCAACTGTTAGAATAAACATACTCCTGAATTAGTATATTATTCCTGAATTAGTATATCCTGAGTCAGGCTTTTAGTTCATTTATGTCGTTAGTTTATTGTTTGCTATGTAAAGACTTAAGATTGAGACATCCTTAGGCCAAATTCAGTTCAACTTAATTTGACTCTTTGCTGTCTTGGGGAGCCGCTGGTTCTTCCTAGTGCTGAATCAAGTGTGAGCGGCAAGCCATTTGGAAGAGACCCTTATTTGGAGAAAATGTCCTCTTTGTGAGTGGCTTGGAAAATTCTGATGGATGGCAACCTAAAAATAATTTACATTCTCACAGATGTATTTGTAGTTGTCATACCAACAATGCCAGTAGAAACCGTGGGCAACAATATGATCTAATTTGCATTCAGATTTTGTTGCTTGCTGCTTCTTTTTTTTTTTTTTTTTTTTTTTTTTTTTTTTTTTGGTTTAAAAAAAAAAAAAAAAAAAAAGAGGACGATAAATCTTTCACTGTGATATATCAAAATAA